GCTGCAGCTCCCTGCTGCAGCCACCGGGGACTGCCCGAATCATCAAAGCTCTCCGAATCTTTTCTGAAGATTTGGAGAGCTTTGAATCGATTCGGACCTTTAAATTGGTCCCCTGATTTGATTCAGCCACCAAATTGGGCTGAATCTCCTTCGAATCAAATCAACACCTGAAGCTGCGCACAGCCCTAAAAGGCAGACATTCATCCCTCAAATTGGCTGGGGAGGGAGACTGGGACACCATTTAAGCTGTGAGCAAAACTTACATGGGAAAGGCTGTGGCTGGAGTGGGAGAGGAGCTTGTGTTTTTCTCTTTTTCTCTTGTGCTCAGTATCTCGCTCCAGGTCTGGCCTCTCCTCCTGCAAGCACCAACACCACAAGATCCATTCCCAAAGCTTAGAGTGATGGGCAAAGTGTCTGTGTGCATGTCTGCAATACGTTGGCTACTAAAAATGGCTACATGAAGCAAGCTGCAAACTAGCCCACCCAAGTGCCTTGCAGAAGGGTCTTCATTGTCCTGATGTGGAAATCACAGGGGATTTCACTCAGGCAGGCTTTTTGTTTTCCTTATTTTTCTTGCTCGTAGGCAGAGGTCTGTCCTCCCAAGGCATCCTCACCAGGATCGCAACTGTGATACGATGGAGAGAGGCTTGTTTGTTATCATTGACATCGAGGGCGATGCTGTCTGCGGTTCTGTACTTCTGCTAGGGTCACCCGTGTTGGCAAACTGGAGAGCAAGCTTGACAGGCTAAGAGGGATCCAAAAATAAATATAAAAGTCATTGATGGTGGAGCATGCAGATGAAGCAAGAATATTTCACGATGGTGGCAGAGGCATATGTAGGCTGTCGCAGAACAGAAATCTTCAGTGCTCTCAATTTTCCTTGACATGGGATTCAGGTTTCCTTCCTGTGAAGTATGTCTGGTTGTTGATGCTCCATTTCATCCCCATCTTAAAAGAAGATGTGCACAAGCCTCTTGCTTCAATAGCAAGTCCCACAGTGATGGGTGTATGGTGATGGGGGCAAATGCTTGCAATTACCATAAGCCCCTAGTGACAGACCTGCCCCTAGTCACGGACCTGCGCGTACAGAGACAATGACTGTACGGTGGTTATTTTGCACTTGGAACTGGGACAGGTGTGTGAGTAGGCAGCTGCAGTGATGACTGAGCCGGCCTATTGCAGATTAACTCTGCTCATCCTGTGTGTGGAGGGCACTAGAAAAGGCTCCTTAAACAGCCCTTGTCATGTCCCCTGCCTAGGATGCATCCAAGTCAAGTACTGAGGTTTGCAACCTGGACTGTCCACACCCTGGTGCACAGCATGAAAGTGCCCACCTGGATTGAAGGACAGCACTTGTGCCCAGGGCTGCATGCATTTCTTTTCCTGAACAAACGTGCACAATATGATCTAATCATCACAAAGCAACTGAATGAAACTTTGAAACTTATGAGAGGCACTTGCAGATACACTCATGTTCCTTGCCTGTCTCTTCTGTCTCGTATCCCTCCTCCTCATCTTCGACATCAAGAGGCTAAATAAAGAGTCTACAAAAAGCTGCCTATATTCAATTCACTACCAATTTTTGAGGAACTTGATGACCCCCATAGGCCAAGGCTTATGTCAAAGAAGGCCATTTTGGAGTGTGGGAAAGAACTGAATCATGAAAGCTTTGAGATGAAGGAAAATGGACCCAGTGATGCAAGACAATTGACCACATTAATACATTTCTTATCATGGACCCCACTTCTAAACCTCTTGGCTTTGACTAAGGCAGAGCTGGACTATGTTGAACACGGTGGACAACTAGCTGCTTTGTAAATGGCATTTTATTAAAGACCCCAAGTACGAGTGCAGTGAGATCCAATCTGCAGCACGTATCATGGAGGAATATCCTATTTATCTTTTTAATAATTGTATCAGAGGCCTGCACCAGGTGACTTCCCATGGATATCATACCTAAAACTGTCACTCTAGTCTTCTCCCTTAGTGCCATTGCTCAGAGGTCATTTAGAGCTTGTCTTGCTATTCAGTTGCTGTATCCATCTGAATAAATCATGAAGCAACAAGTGGAAGCCATTGTGCAGGCACCCCTGGTCAAAACCCTGGCTCCTAATGGACTATATCATAGTTCATGCCTGGCACCTAAGTGACTATATCATGGTGCATTGCAGAGTCCACCTCAGCACAGCTGGGCCCAGAGCAGTGCAGGACTCCAGCTGCCATAACGGCCGCAGCGGATGCGCTCCCGTCGCGGCCCGCTCAGATTCGAACAACCTGCAGGTTCTGCTGAATCCCTGTCGTCAGCTCTCTCAGGCGGGACACAAGAAGAAGACTCTCAGGCGGGACACGAGAAGTATGTGAGGCGAAGACCAGCCCCAAAGGCTGCTGAATAGATCTTCCTTCGGTAGATGATGATCCATCATGTCCATCTGTGTGGCCACAAAATGATGTCAACAAAAAAAGCAACCAAAGAAGAGGTTCAATCTCAAGTGCTTGAAAACCCCCGCTCAAAGACATCATCTCCAGCAGTGCCTCCGAGAGAATCATGCCAACTGGCCTGATGCTCTTGACACACTGATCACTCAAAGAAAAGTGACAGCTTCAAGAAAGCCGTCTGTGCGGCGTGCCAAAATCCTCAAGGCTTCTCCACAAAGAAACCTCAGGACCGGTTCATTGAGAACGACTGGGAAATTCTTGCCTTCAAAATGGACAGAGCACACAATGACATCAGCTCCAAATTGAAGTACCTACATTCGTGATCTTCAGTACAGATCATTCCTTCGACGGCCCCTGCCACATGGACAGTTTTGCACACAGAGGTGAAGAATGGATCTCCCCCTTTGTGTGTGTTAGGAAAAGCCACCAGTGAATAGGTGTGTAATCTTTAAGATATAATAAAAAGGCAGGAGAATTTATTAGTGCTCCAAATCCTTCTGAAATTTGCTCTGGACTCAAATAAGGGCTTCACTGGAAAGAACCTGCTTTGGTTTGATTTTGCACATCCTTCTACCTGTTTACCTAGTCATTGCTTTCCATTTTCCTTGAGAGTTTTTTACCTCCTCTACTTGCCAGAGGAGGCTGAGCCCTTCCTCAGGCTGCAACGGGCTCAGGTTTCAGATGGCAGATCCCATTAGTATTTCCATGCAGGTACTGTCCGCGTGGGAGCTTTCACCTCTGAGGTCCAGCTCCCCGGCCTGATACATGCAGAGACCCCCAGCAAGTGTGAGCACACGGGGTGCTCCAGCAGGCTGCAGGGAGGCTGCTCCTGGCAGGGGAAACACCATGTATCTGGGTCCATGAAGGCAGTTCTCCTTAAGCACTCCCCCAGGATAACTGTTCTGGCGTGGTTTAGCACCCGCCGAGGTGTTGGGGCTTAAAGCCCACTTTAGGGAAATGGGAGGCTCCTCCCTAGCTTGCTTCTGCGGCCATATGGCTGAGGCCAGGTAAAATGTGGGTGCATCTGAACCCCCAGTCTCCAGGCTCGGGCCTGCATGTAGGATGCCTCCCAAAAGACTTTGGAAATATCTGAAGCCCCTGGTGGGGGCTGTTGGGCCACTATGGGTTCTGGACTGACTTACAGATTTGGACTTGATTTGGCTGATTTAGCATGGGAATGAATGGCTGCGGGGCTGGCCACGGGTGGCTAGTCTGGGAATGGTGCTAGTGCAAGCACTGCCAGGGAGCGGGGCATGGGGAGGCATGTACCCCTCAGGTTTGTGCATGGGGGAGCAGAGATGGGCTGCCTGGTATGGGCTCCCCACCCTTCTGCCCTCCCCTGAGGTCTCCACGGCCCTGTAGGCAGGATGTGGTGTGGGAGGGGGAAGCTTGGTGCCACCGCCACAGCTGCCACCACAGCCAGGGCCTTACACTAGCTGAGCCACCATGGTGAGGTGCCTCCAGTTTGCCTAGCAGTGTGGAGTTGCACCACCTGTTGCTGCGGGGTGGACAGGGGGGGTCTCGCCATGGTGGTCCAGCGGTAGCAGCAGCACTGGGCAACCTGTGCCAGGTCATACCTGCTGGGCCACAGTGGCCTCCAGGGGAGGACAATAGAACGGGGACCCCTGAGCCCTGGAGGGGCAGCCTGCATGTTCCCCCACCCCCACTGGCTCCTCTGCACTCAGCGCTGGCCATGCCGCCCACCGCAGGGGGAGCAAGGAGCAGGGGGCAGGGGGAGCAAGGGGCAGGCATGTGTCCCGCTATTGAATTTTCATAAGGTGGTCATCCTAGGAGACAGTCAACATCTGAACAAGCAGTAGTGACCGTAGCGACATGGAACCAGGCCACAGTGGATCACATTTCTTTCTCTCACAATTGTTTTGAAGGCTGGAAGGTAAATCCTCCTTCTTTCAACTATCACACTTCTCCCAGCCCCTCTCTCCCAGAAAAGCTTCTAGGACAATCATCCTGTGTACCCAGACCTTCAAGGAAGCAAATGAGAAGGCAAATGCTCCGGTGGCTGGAAGGGATTCAGTGTTGATAGGAATCATTCTCATTTCCCCTTTCTTTCTGACAGGAACGATCAGTAAAGGAACAGTGCGACTCGCTCCCTTTGTAACAGGAGGTTTGTGTTGCACTTCCCCATTGCACTGTGTCATTGTGTGGAGTAGTAGTGCCACCAACAAGAGCAAAGCAGTAATAATCAGCCTCGTCCTGGGCTTGGACTCCAGTGATGGTCAATGTGGCCGTGTTCTCGGACTTGGAACCAGAGAACCGGTCCGAGATACCGGAGGGTCTCTTATTGTCGTTGCCCATAATGATCAGGGGGGCACTCCCAGGTTTCTGTTGGTACCAACTTGCTCCGAAACCACTAATGGTATTTGCTGTGCAGGTGAGTGTAGCAGTTTGTCCGGGAGAGACGGACACCGAAGGCGGCTGAGTTGTCATGCTCTCAGCAAGAGAACCTGGAACAAGAGAGAACACACAGGCATGAAATAACCCCTTGTATCGAGATCTGCCGGCAGCCAGGGGACAAAACCCCCATTTCAGCACCTGAGCAGCATTCAAGGAATACGAGGAGGAGCGGGGCCAAGGCCATGGTGGAAATGCAGACCAGCTCTGCCTCCTCAAGGAAACCAGT